GTCTTTTAAAATCTTAAAAATAACGAATGTAGCCGTATATTAGGGTCTGTACGAAGACGTGGACCTGTAAAGTCAACTTTTGTCACAAGCTATTACAATATTTAAATGAGAAACTTGAAAAAATATGTTTATAATGAAGCTAAAATCAGCAAAATACCGAATATAGGGTGCTACCATGGGGGTTATAAAACGTGAACCTACGTAGACAATTTTACGAACTTCAAATACGAAATTTGAAATAATTCCGGTAAAAAATGTGGCTAAAATCATCAAAATACCGAATATCGGGGGGTACCGTTATATGCGAGCTATACGAAGACGTGGACCTACATGGCTCATTTTCTGTCTTAGGATGTAGTATCCATTACGAACTCAAATACCAAATTTGAAACAATTCCGGTAAATAATGTCGCTAAAATCATCAAAATACCGATTACCGAGGGGGGGGGGGGTGTACCGTTATATGGGGGCTATACGAAGACGTGGACTTACATGGGCTATTTTCAATACCAAAAGTCCTGCAGACATAATACACATTTGAGTAAAATTTTATCAACCTACTCCAATTTGTTCGGAAGCTAGAGTGATTTCCACAGGCGGACAGACGGATAGACTGTCAGACGGCCATCGCTTATTAATTTAATGATGATATTTTATGGGGTCTAAAATGTATATTTCGAGGTGTTACAAACGGAATGACAAACTTAATATACCCTTTATACTATGGTGGAGGGTGTAAAATTAAATTTCTCATGAAAAATAGCTCCCATTTCTGGTGGGGTCGGGGCTCCCCTACATACATACATACATACAGTCTTCAAAGTATGGTGGTGTTTATTTAACATTTTTATTTACTCCAAAAATGTTATGTACATTTAACTTTTCATTCCCACATTGTCAGTCATGACCAACAATAACCGTTTTTTTTCTTGTCGAAAATTAATAAAGCTCATGGCCCTTATTATTAAACAGCAGCTGTTAGTTTTCCAATAAAACCCCACCAATTATTTCCAATTAAATGGCATTCGAGCCCATCCACCACACGCATATGTGCGTGTCTCCTTCTGCTTGACTTTATATTTCTTCCTCCCTCTCAAAAAATGACAAAATAATAATATCATAATAATTTTTTTCAATGTCATTGTCAGACGATAGACATTGTGTGAACGTTGATTTGACAGCATACTCTCAAACACACATTCAAACTCTCACACACACACACATGTATAACAGCTCGTTCATATTTTTCGCTAATATCTGCGAGAAAAGGATACCACAGTGTCGTATAATCAACATTAATTGAATTCAACTCGTACGCCAGCAGGAATGGTAGAGGGCCGACTAAATCAACCATACAAACTGCAATAAAACCCCAAAGAAAGGATAAAATGTTAAATTTCAATTATGACCATTAAAACTTTCATCTAATTAAGTCTTGGGCAAACAACCGAGGAGGCCTGACACAGAATTTGTAATTTGGACACTTTTCCTCCTTTTTGGTTTAACAATTTTCACTGGGCAAAAAAGGCTTGCGGCAATTCAAACAAAGTAGTTGGAATTTGTTCAAAGTAAACAAAGTCACCCACACACAAAACATACCTGCTGGTGTTAGGAAGAGAGAGTCTAATAAAGAGAGTGAGAGAGATTGAGGGGGCAACATTGCTGAGAAGACATTCCTTTAACAATGTAGAAGAATTACAAAATAGGTTATGTTAAAAGTAATTAAAGCTAACACCCCGCCTTACCCTCCATTACCCTATGGTTCTCCGGCCATAATTTTATTGTTGACATAGGAAGGGAGGAGGAGAGAGGGAGAGAGAACAATACGTTTTTACGATATATGCCTCGCGTAGTATTAGGGGGTGTTGGAGGTGGTTAACGAAGCAAAACAAAACATCTTTTGGAAAATGTGTATATTCATGTCCTTTGACACATGACGAGCTGAGTGTAAAGCTTTCATTAGGAGAACTTTGTGTGATTATTTTAAGAGAGAGGCAGAGAGCCGTTTAGGCAAGTTACTCTGTAAGCGTAGTATTGAGAGAACACAAATTTATGTTGTTTTGTGGATTTTTTTTGTTGGTACTGTTGTCTGTCGAATTCATATGTTGCTATGCCTACACAAATGAATATATGTATGTGTGTGTGAAAGAGTATTACTATGGAAATGTTTAGTTTCCTCAAAAATTGGCTAAGGGATGATGTGTGTATAGGAATGTCAAAAAATTTTTAGAGCTGTCCGTATTCGTAGAACATTTCACTCAGAAAATCATAGAGGTTATACCGTGGTGATAATTTGAGTATGTAAATGTAGACTGCATACAGATTTTTATACCATACAAAACTATTTGTTGGGGTTATTATAAGTCTGATTGGACCAAAAAGTTTGTAAATATTATTATTGGAAATATTAGTGCCCACGATGTTACATATGAATCTGTTCCTTCGAATTTTGAATCACGCTACAGGTCGCAATTTAGCCCTATCCTCACGAACTTTAGCATGGAGTGTCGGAATTGTTTTTAGAGTTGATGGCAAAGCATTTAGGGGTTAAAATAGATCAAAACCGGAAAAATATTCAGATTTTGCAGATGGTATACAGGTCACAATTATAGACCAAGCGACGCAGAATTTTGCAGGGGACTAGTGTTTAGGGCTAGGCCGAAGCCTATACTGTTACGAGTGAAGTAAGTGAAATTGAACAAAACTTTTGTGTAAAAATATGAATATTTTTCGACTTTTTTCGATACTTTTACAATCTTACAGTAATGGAACAGGCAAACAGTTGGGAGTACAATTTTTTCACTCTACTACACTATTGTATTGAATTCATGTCGGTGTTAGACTAGGGCCATGGCCAAAATATGTTCTCAAAATATTGAGGGGTTCAAATGGACCTATCGCCACGGAATTTCGAAAGAGGTTTGAAATTAGGACAGGGCAGAAGCCTAGTATTTTCGATGGCCATTGGATAACATTTAGTGGGTAAAATGAACAACATCTTTTGTGTGTTTTTTTTTTTAAGAAGCCAAAGTTACCATTTTTGCAGGACTGTAATTAGCCAAAATGGGTTTGGACCTAAGGGGTTTTGGTTTATATTCGTCGGTCGGTCGGTCGGTCCGTACGACTATAGTCTTTGCTTAGGAAGTCCATTAAAAACGTTTTCTTAGATTTTTAGTCAGAAAGTTCATGAATAGCCCCCGACTTTAAAGCAGAAAGCCACTGAAAGAAAGTCTGGATTTCTTCAAAAACCTTTCCAAAGATCCACTCAGAAGAGCAAAGCAGATTTTAAGTCAAAAAGTCTTTTAAAAAATTATATTATTTTTTGAGGCTATGATAAAGCTCATGTCTACCCAGACGAGTGAGCTTCAATTGACGCATTGAATGAGAACATTAATGGATTTATTCGTAAGATACCGTCCGAAGTGCTGGACGTCCGAAGTGCTTTTAGACCCCGCAAAGTATATATATTCTTAATCAGCATAAAATTCTATGTCGTTTTAGCGATGTCCGTCCGTCTGTAGAAATCACTCTAGCCTTCGAACGAAATGAAGTAGACTGATAAAATTTTACTTAAATGTATATAATATCTGCAGGATTTTTGGTATTGAAAATCGGTGATGTAGGTCCACGTTTTGGTATAGCCCTCATACTATTTTTGTCGATATTTTGATGATTTTAGCGACATTATTCACCGGAATTGTTCCAAATTTGGTGTTTTCGTAATGAATACTACAGCCTAAGACAGAAAATTGTCTGTGCAAGTCCACATCTTCATATAGCCCCCATATAACGGTACCTCCCGATATTCGGTATTTTGACGATTTTAGCGACATTATTCACCGGAATTGTTCAAAATTTTCTGTTTGAATTTCGTAATGAATACTACAGCCTATGACAGAAAATTGTCTGTGCAGGTTCACGGCTTCGTATAGCCCCCATATAACGGTACCTCCCTATATTCGGAATTTCGAAGATTTTAGCTACATTATTCACCGAATTTTCTGTTCAAGTTTCGCATTTGAATATTGTAATGGTTTATGACAAAAGTTGCCTATGCAGGTCCACGTCGCCGTATAGACCCTAATATAACGGCTACATTCGGTATTTTTAAGATTTTAACAGAATTTTTAAAGGATTTTTTTTTTGAAAATTGCCAAAATCGTTTCAAATGGTGGAGGGTATTCAAAAATCGGCACTGCCGAACTTACAGCTTTTTTACTTGTTGTTATTTTTTAGAGAATCACCCTTTGTTGCAAAAATAATACTTCGACAAATTGTCGCAGATTACAACAATTACTACTTCTGCAACACTGTGTCAATTCGTACTGTCCGACGATTTTGAAACAAAACATGTCTTCATTTGAAAAAATTTGCAAAAAATGACAACACAAACAAGTAACGAAATAACTTACCATATTCGAAACATTCACAGTGTACTCACACATGTATGGCAAATGGCTGAGTGCTTTACGCACAATTTGAGTGTTTTGTTTTTCTCACTCGCCTCAGTTTTTAGGGGTTAAAACGTGGTCAGATAAATTGCTTTATCTGAGGCAAACGTTTTTCTTTTATGCTGCTGCTGTTAATGTTTTTGCTAATGTTTCTGTTGCTGTTGTTGTTGTTGCTATTACAGTTTGGAATTTTCATCCATCGAAATTTTGCCACACCAGAGAGTTTCAGCCGAGTTGATGTGGATTTCAGTCAGTGTTGGTCATTCATAGCGGGGTGTTGTACATCTTCCAGTGGTAGTAAAAATTTAACAAATAATCTAAAACATAAAAAAGTTATTAATAATAAAATTGAAAAATATATATATATTCAATAAAATCGCCAAAAAAAATACAAACATAAATAACAACTATAAAATCAGAAAATAGTGCCATAGGCAATCAACGAAAAAAGTAGTGTCAGATTTTTTTTTGAAATAAACAACAACACAATTGCTGAATTTAAAACGAAATTGTAATTTTTTTTATTGAAAATAAAAAATTGAATCCTAAACGTCGAATATCTTGTGGATTACATTAAACTCCAGATTTGCTGTTTTTGTGTGGAAAAACGTTTTCTTCTTCTTCTCCTCCTCCAGTGTCAAGTAAGTATTTCGTACGTTTTGGTTCTTCTTGTTCGATAAGAAAGTCCCCACCCAGTTGGTACTTATGTAAGATATCTCGCCTGTATCCAGACAACGTTTCGTTGTTATCCTTTGGATTTTTGTCTTACTTCAGGCATAAAATATTTAGACTTGTCAGTGTCTAGCCATCGCGAAAGTTTTTTTTTTTCTTTCCGGGGGCTTTGGAAAAAAAGTAAGAGTATGTGTGTGCGTGAGGCACATACACATGCATGTGTATCATTATATCCTTAGCGAAAAATTGTTGGGAATGTTTTCTTTTCTGTTATCAAGAAATCGGTCGATATTTCCAAAAATTAAATTTGATATGCCAACAATGTTTTAATGCAGCATTTGCCCACATTTATTCCATCAAATTGAGAGAATGTTTTTGTTTATCAAATATCCACACCCGCCGAGAGGGGGGGGGGGGGGCAATATTGATGCCACTTGATGCGATAATTGAAAAATGGGCAATTCAATATCGAATGTTGAACATAATTGTTAAGCTCATAGCTATAGAATGATGGGTAATGATAATAAAAACCTGCATAAAGCAAAGTTTTTTATACCCTCCACCATAGTATGAAGGGTATATTAAGTTTGTCATTCCGTTTTTAACACCTCGAAATATACATTTTAGACCCCACAAAGTATATATATTATTGATCAGCAAGTCGATTTGTCCTTCCGTCTGTGGAAATCACTCTAACTTCCGAACAAATTGAAGTAGATTTATGACATTTTACTCAAATGTATATTATGTCTGAAGGACTTTTCGTATTAAAAATGGGCCATGTAGGTCCACGTTTTGGTATAGTCCCCATATAACGGCACCTCCCGATATTCGGTATTTTGGTGATTTAAGCTACATTATTCGCTGGAAATGTTTCAAATTTGGTATTTAAAGTCCGTAATATATACTACAGCTTATGACAGAAAATTGTCCGTGCAGGTCCACGCCTTCGTACAGCCCCATATAAAGGCACCTCCCTATATTCGATACTTTGATGATTTTAGCGACATTATTCATCGGAAATATTTCAAATTTGGTATTTGAAGTGCGTAATGGATACTACAGCCTATGACAGAAACTTGTCGGTGCAGGTCCACGTTAACGTATAGCCCCCATATAATGGTATCTCCCTATTTTCGGTATATTGACGATTTCAGCGACATTATTCACCGGAATTGTTTCAAATTTGGTATTTGAATTTCGTAATAGATACTACAGCTTATGACAGAAAATTGTTCGTGCAGGTCCACGCCTTCGTATAGCCCCCATATAAAGGCACCTCCCGATATTCGGTATTTTAATGATTTTAGTGACACTATTCACCGGAATTGATTCAAATTTGTTACTTGATGTTCGTAATGGATACTACAGCTTATGACAGAAAATTGTCCGTGCAGGTCCACGTTATCGTATAGCCCCCATATAATGGTACCTCCCTATTTTCGGTATATTGACGATTTCAGCGACATTATTAACCGGAAATGTTTTATATTTTGTGTTTGAAGTTCGTCATGGATACTACAGCCTAAGAAAGAAAACGGTCTGTGCAGGTAATCGTCTTCGTATAGCCCCCATTTCACGGTACCTCCTGATATTCGGAATTTTGATGATTTTAGCGACATTATTCACCGGAATTCTTTCAAATTTTATATTTGAAGTTCGTAATGGCTAATATAACAGCTACATTCGGTATTTTTTTAGATTTTAACAGAATTTTTAACGGATTTTATTGTTTTTGAGAATTGCCAAATTCGTTCCAAATGGTGGAGGGTATTCAAAGTTCAGCCCGGCCGATATTACAGATTTTTTACTTGTTTTAATTCATATGAATTCCTATCGTATACGTAACAGTTAGATTTAAGACGTCTTTAAGGACATACAGCATTATTTTATTACAAACAGTAGAATATTTTTACATGCTATGATCCCGTTTAAAGGGGTTTTTAAACTTATTACAAAAAAAAAAAAAACAAGTAATAGAGCAGTAGGTTAGGTCGGGCCAAACTTTGTATACCCTCCCCATTTGGAACGAATTTAGAAATTTTCAAAAAAAAAAAAATAAATAAATAAATAAATAAAATAAATAAATAAAATCCGTTAAAAACTAAAAACAATTCCGTTGAATATTGTACGTGAAATCGTCAAACTACCGATTATAATGAGGTAACGATATATGGGGTCTATACGAGGACGTGGATCTGCATTGACAATTTTCTGTCATACCCATTACGAGCTCCAAATACCAAATTTGAAACAATTCCGGTAAATAATGTCCATGAAATCATCAAAATTTCAAATCTCGTGGAGGTCTATCTCGTATGGGGTCTATACGATATCGTGAACCTATATAGAAAATTCTCTTCCAGAGGATAAAGTATTTAGAAGGAACTTCCTCTGTGGTTTTTCAGACAATTCCATTGAAAATTGTAGCTAAAATCATCAAAATACCGAATATCGGGGGCTAGGGATTTAGGTGCAGGGGCTTAGGTGCAACGAGATATGTTAAATTAGTAAGAAAACTCACATATGCCTGTGTAAATATGGAAAAAATGTCAAACACTTTTTCTAAAGCACAAATTGTATTTTTAAACCCTATTCATTCTATCAAAGGATTTATTGATGGACCTGAAAGTACTTTATTTCAAAAAATAGAATAAAAAACGAAAACCCGAACAAACCACTTCAACACCTGTAATTTGCTTTGCGAACATTACAATTGTAGTTATCGATTTGGTGGCGCCCAATTAAAGTAAATGCCAACCAAAAGCAAGGGTACTCTAACACACAGACGAAAAATACACTTGTTTTATTCAATGGATGAATCGATTTTTTTTTGTATTTGGTTCACCTTCAAATGGTTATTAAATGAGGTGGCGGTGCCTGTGAGTTTTCGGTTCGAATAAGTGAGGTTGGCCGTAGCGGTAGGCTTTGACAGTCAATTGTGGTGAACGTAAATAAAGACTTCAAATTTGGGAATAAAAACATGCACTACACATGGTACAAATTATAAATTATAAATCATAAATTGTAAATTATTTTTAATAAATAAACATTTTAATGAATAAAAAATAAATCTGGTCTTTGCCAGAACTACAGGAAGGTAAATGTGTTTATTAGGATAACCGATTTTTCCTTTATGATATCGACAAAAAAAAATTAAAACTAATAGATTCATGCAGGGTTTTGAACAGAGCAATCATAAATTATATATAATAATAATACTAAACAAAATATGCAACAATTTTCGGGTCATGGTCTGCGGGGTGAAAAATACCAAGTGAAGGTTATAGTATTTGGTTATTAAGTCAAAATCCCAAAAGGGTTTATAGCATTAACGTTACAGAAAGTGGCTCAAATAATTTGTTTTATACTTCGATCTATATTATATTGAGCTTTTAAATTTGACACAGACCAATGGGTTACAAGTAGAATCATTTGTACAAAATACGGGTCATGTCGGTCTGAGTTTTGGTATGGTCCCCTATATTTGGGGGTATACCCTTTTCATACCCGATTTCAAGTATTTTTGTTTACTTTTTAGTCATATTTTTATACTCTCCTCCGTTTATAACTAATTGAAATAATATTTTTAGACCTTACAGAACACATATATCAGCGTAAAATTCTAAGACGATTTAGCCCTGTCCGTCCATCATTCGTTGTAATCACGCTACAGTCAAAACGAATTAAGGTAGAAAGCTAAATTTTTGCACAAATCCTTCTTTTCTCTGCAGGCAGGTCAAGTTCGAAGGTGGGTTACATCGGTCCACAATATCGTGTAGCCCCCCTATGCAACCGTACCTCCGGATAATCGGTATTTTGATAATTTTAACACCATTTTTTTCATGGAATTATCTGAACAAGGAGTTCAAGGTGTTCTTTATGAGTATTTTACCCCCTGGAATAGAATTGTCTATATAGGTCCACGATATTGTATATTCCCCATATAACGGTACCTCTCGATATTGGGCATTTTGATTATTGTATCTAATTATACCCTACACCACAAGGTGGCCAGGGTATTATGTCTTTGTGCATTTGTTTGTAACAGGCAAAAGGAAACGAGATAGACCCATAGTTCCTTTTGATGATCTGCATAGAATCACATTCTGAGTCGATTTATGCATGTCCGTCCGTCCGTCCGTCTGTCCATGTATTTTTGTAAACAAAGTACAGGTCGCATTTACTGAATTTTGCATAGATCATTTGTTTGGCCCAAGGACGAACCCTATTGAAATTGGAGATAATCGGTCAAAATTTAGACATAGCTCCCATAAATATCTTCGTCCGATTTACTTTCTATTGTGCACCAAACATGTAATATCAGCCCGAATTGTATGGCATTTTGCATATACACCCAAATTAGGCCTGAAAATAAGTATGCCAAATTTGATCGAAATAGCTATAGCTCTCATATATATTGCCATAGATATAGCTATAGCTCCCATATATATTGTTCATCCGATTTGTTATTTTTGTCCACCGCAGCCGTAATAGGCACTCTGCAACAACAATATTTGGGGAAATATATCAAATACAGCTCAGAAATAAATTTGCTAAATTTTATCGAGATCGGTTCAGATTTGGATATACACTGGTGGCCAAAACTAAAGCAACTGAAATTACAAGGAGAATGAATGCCCCGTAACTTTTTTAATAATTGAGAAAATGAGACAGTTTTTTTGTTTTAAATTAGGTACTTTATTCACTTTTTAAAAACCTAAAACATAAAACCAAAATTCATTTTTATATAAAAAAATAATGTTTGGTAAAGTCAATTAACGCGATTTTGGCTTGGACAAAACAAAAGCAACTCTGTTGTACATTCATATAACCGCAGCAATTTCAGTTGTTTTTACTGTGATATTTATCGCTTTTTGCTTCCTTCGACAATTTCGCTTGTCATAAATCCTTTTTGAGAAGTTTTTTACAACAGTATGTGTTTTTCTTTTCGTTTTTTAAGTACTGC